CATGACCTTACCGCCATCTTTGAGCCCATTGTGTAGATCGTTTAGATAATGTGGGACCCTCAACGTCTCACAACCCTATGGGCCTTCATGGCCTGGTACAGGGATAGCTTTACTTTTTTTTTACAATCTTATGTAAATATCAGTGTAATCTGCTGACAATGTCTATATCCAATATTTACGTACCTGAATGGATAGATGAATGCTAATAAATACAATACAATACAATACAATTTGTCATTAAAGGTTATTTCTACATACTGAGAACGCAGTGTGAGATAGGATTTTAATCAAACATTAATTTTCTCTCTTATTCCATATTGATTTAATTTTTCAAGAAGTATATCATAATCAATAACTTCATACGCTTTTGTGAGATCAAAATATATACCAACTTCAAATGACCGCCTGTCAGATGCTTCCTGTAAATTCCCAATAGAGGAATGACAAACAGATATGGTCGACTACTTTTTCTGGAACTCATATTAATTTTCCGTTAATATCTTAAATTTAATAATAAAGGATACCAATCTGTTATACGGATCAATGACATCAACCTTTATTTAGTGATCCGTGATGCCATATTTTGTCCGCTTAATTACGTAACGGGGAATAATAATGGCCAAGGAACTCTGTGTGTTAAGGGGGTTTAAGGGGATATTTGTTCAGGTAAGTGCTCTAGAGCTCGGATTTTGATAAGAACATCATTTTGTAGTCTGTACTTCCATTTTTGGAATTAGGTATTATTCACAGCAAAACCTGATTCGATGGTCAGTTGCGTATTACGTTTATCTTGATGCTGGATTAACGTTGAGAAGTCATACTAAACGAACGCCTGTATTTATACAAGTTACATTTAAAACAAGATACAGTCATACGCTTTCACGGCGGCTGAAGAGAATAAAATCTTGGGCCATCAATCGTGTCAAATTGTTAAAACTACCGACGTTTCAAGTTCCATCTCGATCATCATCAGGCTGTGATAGTGGGGGCAGAGATGGTTCTTGAAAAATTGGTAATCCTAGAACAAACTGAGGCAGCCGATAACCAGAGGTGATTTCATTAACTTTAAAACGAACTGCCCTTACAGAGAGGTATTTATGTGTTCCTGCAATAAATCCGAATTTGATCATTATCTGAATTAAGCTGGCCAAGGTAAGGTTGTTAAGCATAGCAAAAATAATCAGACGAGGAAGGAAATAATTGTGTCAAATCGAAATCTGACCAGCACATTCCTGTGGTTGGGGATCTGTACCATATTCTGTTATCTTATATTTGGTAAAGACCCCATGCATTATGTACCACTCCTTGAAAATTTATGGGGTGAAGGTATAGTTTCATGCTTCAGCCACTACACTGGAAGAAAGATTTCATGTCCTGTGTCAGAAAGGAGGCTGGGTGGGCCATGGAGCCAGCCTGGACAAAACTCGTATGTGAAACTAATGCTGAATCCTTGGTTGTTCCATCCTTACCCTAGTCACTGTAATGACTGAGCTGTTGTGGCTTCTTGATACTTAGGTGATAGGTTGTAATGCTAACAAGCGTTTTTTTTCCCACAGCTGATATTTGCTTTATGATATATGTCTAGTGTTTTGGATGGTGTGTTTAAGTACAGGGAGGTTGTCTGAGAGAGAGCCTGTTGCGAATCCTTCAGGCAGGAAGGACATTACTTACATCATCTCACACTCTGTGTGCCATACTTGTTGTGTAGTCGACAGCCCTGTAGTCTGTACACATTAAAATTTTTCTTCGGTTACCCCACTAAATCTTTAACAGCTACAATAAAGTAAGCTTATTTGTTTTTGCTGGTTGATTATAATTCCAAGTCCCTGCTAATGTACTGAACATGCAGTTGGTCATGACACTTCTTGTGCTGAAATGCCAGTCAAAACAAGAGTTCATGTACAGTGCCTGTGTGAACAATAACAAAAAGATTCAGGCATAAATTTCAGGATATTTCAATTCCAAATAAAAACCATTCTGCAAATTTAAATAGATTTAGACAGACAAGGTTGTTATTGAACAAAAAGGAAGTGAATCAAAATGCCAGGTGCCCAGTGAAGAGAATCGTAATGATATCAATGTGAGGCTTGAACATTCCCAATGAAGATCCCATAAATGCCTTACAGAGGAGACTTGGATTTAACATTTAAGCTTTCAAGTTTTTAAGTTATGTTTTTTAAAAGGGAATTAAATGCATGAATGTGGACTTTTCATGGATATGCAAGGAATGCTTGCATAACAACCGGTACTATTTCTGCCATAACAGTACCTGGTTGGGTTTTGTTTTTTGGTTTGTTGGCATATCCAGTTGTTGATTTTTCTGTGGGTCTTGTCACAAATGGGAAGATTGATTATGATGAGCATGTGTCTCCTCTTCTGGACTGGACTACCAATTTGCAGCATGCTCTTAGACAAATTGTATCTGAACATGTATATGCACACATTCAGTAGTATTATTTAACATATCTGTGTATTGACTTGGTACCTTGTACTGTTTTTATTTATGTGTTTTGTTTGACTTTTCCACATCCTCTGAATGTATTTCTAGTATTGGATTTATGGAAATAAATACTGCTACTACTACTACTACTACTACTACATATTTTGGATAAATTCCTCAAACAAGATTCCAACATAATGTAAACATGTATTATGTCTGAGTCAGGGAAGCTACTGCTATGAAATGAGTGACAGATTACTCATCAAAGTCTACTATACCTCCACCTGTTAGAGGGGATTTGATCCAACTGCAGTAGTGTCACTTGTGGTCACAACTGGAAATTAACTGATCACACCACATACCGTAAAACGTACCTTATATGGACTCTTTATTAAATGGAATGTGTCTTAATCAGAAATATTTTCAGGTCCCATGACTTTGGGGCTGAGGGAGATGTTAAATATCCTGGAATAAACGGAAACTGTCTAACTCGGAAACAGAAATCAAAATAAACCCTTATACAGAAAATTTACCGTCTTCCGGAATGCATCATTCAGAAGAATTTTAGGCATTCTATACATTCTATGGAATTTCGTTTTCTCTAACTCTTTCAATTCAGCTGTTAATGGTACTGCACTGCCTACACTGAAATTCAACTAAACTGTTTGCCCCTTCTGGAAATTTTACTCAGTAAGGGCCCTAGGCCTACATTTTTACTTTAGTCCAGTAGTTGTCATCATGGCTACAAAGACAAGAGTTGTTCTTGATCTTAACACAAGAGTAAAAATGATTCATGTGAATGAGTGAGATAAATTGTATGTTAAACAGATCATGTAGATGTTTAACATCGGTTAAACTGATGTGTGTGAGATTCTAAAGAATGAAACGGAAATTTAAAAGGGTGGGAAAATTCTGGTAATGAAAAAATAAAAAGAGAACTTAAGAAAACTGCAAATGAAGATGTTAATGAAATAGTGTGGGAGTGATTTGTTAGTGTCAGGGCAAAAAAGCAGTGCATGTCGGGTCCTATGGTACAGGAATATGTTAAAAGAGTTGCTGAAAGACTGCAGAAGACTGAATTCAAAGCATCTAACAGATAGTTGGAGAGTTTTCACAAAAGACATCAGATAGTTTTTAATGAATGAAGAAGAGAAAAATGACATTGTGATAGAAGAAGAAAAGTGTAGAGTGAAGACTTACCAAGATGCTGTCAAAAGTTAAAGGAACTGCAGGAATTTGCCTTAAATGGAATGATTCAGACATGCTTAGTATAACTTCTCAAGCTAAAGTGTTTGTGGAAAGTCAGGCAGCCAAGAGAGTAAACTGCGTGCAAAAAAAAACTGCTTGAATTCTGGTAAAATTATAAAAAGTGAGTACTGCAATTTTTTCTGTTCAGTGATTATAATGTGAATAAATTAATGAGTATGGCGTTATATTTTGTCTCAAATATGTGCATGTCCTGGTTTAATTATTATAGTATACCTTGATTAAACAGAAACATTGCTTCAGCAGAAAAATGTTCTGGACCCTTGAGATTGCGTTTAAGACAGGTGTTACTGTATTATATATTGCCATCACCACTGCTACCTAATTTCCAATTAAACTTTTGATTTGTTTCATTTTGGTCCATCACACTAACAGTTACAATTATAAAAGACAAGTCCATCCAATGTGACTATTTCAGTTTTCTCACTTGATGATTCACTAGCCTTACGTGTTTCGATCCATTTGGATCACCTTCAGAGGCACCAAACACTTTTTTGAAACCACTATTACAACAGTTATCAATCAAATACACATGTAATGTCCAAGTAAATAGTGTTCCATCTATCAGTCACAGTAGCCTTTCTGTTATAGAAATATTTAAAGTTGTTTTAAAGTTTTAAAAACTTTGTTAAAAATTAAAATTCATAAACCATACGGTTCGTGTCAATAACCTCTGTCATCTCTCTTCAAGGTGGCCGATGNTTAAAACAACTTTAAATATTTCTATAACCAGAAAGGCTGCTGTGACTGATAGATGGAACATTGTGTACTTGGACATTACATGTGTATTTGATTGACAACTGTTGTGATAGTGGTTTCCAAAAAGTGTTTGGTGCCTCTGAAGATGATCCAAATGGATCGAAACATGTAAGGCTAGTGAATCATCAAGTGAAAAAACTGAAATAGTCATATTGGATGCACTTGTCTTTTATAATTTTTCCAATTAAACATTTTACTGTCATACTGTCAGTGAAGTTTAGCCAGATGAGCATCTTAGACCAATTAATGATTCTAGATTCCTTCTTCCTGGTCATGTTGCATGTTAGAACATTATGAGGAATAATCTAATTTTTGTATATTTATTGAATATTAATTGAAAAGAACAAAAATTTTTTCTTCATAATATCAATACTAAAATTGCAATTGTGAAGATAAGTAATAATACATGAGTGGAAAATGCATACTTGGAGTAAGCGGAAGGCTTTTTTAAAAATTTGAATAATAATTGTTTGGACTTGTAAAACACAGTTACTGTTGTTATGTGGACCATGGGGCAATGGGGAGGGGAGTTACATGCTAGTGGCATGCTCTTAACTTTTGAAGCTTTTCAGCTTCATCGCCTTCTTGACTGTTCTGAATCCATGCTGTCAGCCAGAAGGTTGCAGAAAGACTAATTGTGAATAAAAGTGTGCAGAATTTATGAGTCAAGTCGGTCTGAGCTAGAAGCAGTGTGCGGTGGTTGAGTGGGGAAACAGTGTTACCAAAACAATGTACTGAGTCCCATGCTGGCAGTGACAGGTTGGCTGGAAAAAGACAGTGTTGTTGTATATGCGTTATTGTTGTATAAGAACTGTTTCATTCGGTAAAGGTATTGAATACGCTATGTTACTTCATTTGCATTTACTCTTAATATGTTATTTCATTAGCATTTAATTTTAATAGAAATGTAACAGAAATGGTAGCGACACAGGAGGACGAAAGTATGCAGTCGAGATAACCAAGGGGGTCAGACGCGTGACCTCCGTCTCACGCAGCTGTGGCTGCTAAAAAGCACGTAACATAGGGTACAGGGAGAGAAGCCCACACAAAAAAGAGGCCAGACATAAGCAAGCAAACTAAGAGAGCCCTGCTCTGAAATATTCCTTACGACTGGTGTGTTATTAAAACAAAGAATGTAGACAGTCTGATGCAGACGGAGCGAGAGACTAGTCGTTGACCGAGATAGCGGCTAGGTAGAGCC